AGACCCTGAAGGCAAGAACAACCTTCCTGTGCTGAGAGGAGGGGATGGCTGTGACGACTCAAAGGTTTGGACACGGTTTAATAATTCAGAGTTTCTTGACTCTGAAAGTCAGACATTTCTTCAGTGAGAGTCAGAACCATCCTGTCCTTAATGAAATGAGTTGCACAGATCCAGTGCAGGCCAGGGGGATGTGATGTCTGCAGGATGTCCAGGCTATCACAGTAGGCTTTCTTACCCTTCTGAGTAATTCTGCTGTGCAGAAAGGTGATGCTGAGCTTAGGCAGATGTTTTGCTGCTCTTCCTCTTCAGTGGTCAGGTTGTTCATTCCCCACCTTGCACGTGGGCTAGGAATAAACAGCAGCCTGCAGTTCTCAGAGGGCAAGGGAGCATTTCCTCAATGGTTTTGAGCACATTCCTTCATCTAGAGAAACATGCTGTCTTTATTCTCTTTTTCCACCTCTGCCTTTTTATTAGGAAAGAGGACTGCATCTTTAATGCACTACTTTACAACCTTTTATGTAGAAAGATTAACAAAAAGGAACCACACTTAATTTAAGATGACAACTTAGGTTTGCCTCTGGATTCTTTTTTGGCAGACGTTCTCTCAGTAAATTACATTTGACAACCTGAAATAAATTCAAACCAAAATTTATGCCTGCATTTGCTCACAGGGCTGTGGTTCATCAGACTGTGTGGTTAAAAAATCTATGAAAAGTAACAACTAATTTAAAAATTTATTTTTAGACAACCTACACGGGCTACCAATGCTAAAACTTTATTTAAGTAAAGTCAGGTTTCTGAACATGTGAAGGTAATTTTTCAGATGATAATTCAGTTGATAAGAGTTACTTATAGATGTTTGTGCAAGAAAAAAGAAAACAACATTACGAAACAAGAAGAAATGAGTCATGATGATACACTTTCAGTTGCAATTTAACACAAAAAAAGGTTTTAGAAACATAACCAAGGACACGGCATCATTGAAAATTTTCCCAAAGGAGAAGTCAATGTTAGCCGAGATTGCCAGAATTTACTTTAGCTATTACTATGGATGAATAATTATGCTCAATTCAGCCAGTGATATGGGTTCACAGCAGGTTAATTGGTAATAATGGGTTTCATTCCAAACAGTGAGGAATGATTTTTCAACAAAAAGAGTGCTTTCACTGTGAGCTGAAGATGTCCTTGCTTTCTGTGCTCCACAGTCACAACAGCACATGGAGGACACCAGGCTCTGGGTTCAGGGAGCTGCCCTTGCTTGCTCCTGGCTATTGACAGGGGACAGAACAGGCTGAAGCATCATCTCAGCTGGGCAACCTTGGCCTGCTTTTTAAAAATGATTCTCCTTCCCTTTGGCTAAAATTTGTGTCTGGACCAAGGAGAACAGAATGATCTTGGTACAATCCCTGATGCACACAGACCTTTATCTCTGTTGCAGAGGTGTAAACACAGAGGAAGTGATTTGAAGGAAAGCAACTTGATATGAAGTGGTCTAAGAAGAATTTTCTGTGCTTACAGAATAGCATGGGCATTCTCCATCCTTTCCTCACTGCACCATATAAATAATAATGAAGCAGGAATAAGTCTATTGATTGTGAGCTGGCTGAGCACAGGATCTGAGCTCTCAATTCAGAATCTTCACCTTCTCCTGAGACAGGGCTATCATTTGTCATGTTCACACATGGCCAGGAATGAGGAATATCAGGGTGTAGGACAGATGAGCACAGTTCACCTTGGATAAGCCTCCTCACCTGGGTTACACCCCAAGTCATCTCCCTTGAAGGTTTTATCAAATTCCTCCATCCTTTACCTTCTGTGGATGATTTCCTGGCTCAGTATTCAAGCCTTTGTTTTCCCTTTGCTTCCTAAATTGTAGTTTCTGCATTTGAGGATCCCAATGACTTTATCAGAAGCTCTCCAGACAGCAGGGAGTAAATCTCAATTTAAAAAAGAAAAAAGAAAACCCTCAATATTTAGTCCTTTCATTAGTTCAAAAAGAAGGAAAAAACCCCAAACCTCTGTATGCATGTTCAGAAGCTGCTGTGTCTAGTCCTGTTGGATTTGCATGCAAGTCATTCCATACAAAGAGAAGTTGGAAATACATTAATAGGACACTTCCAAGGTTGAAATATTTGGGCTGTTATTTTCTCCTCTGCCCTAACTGATGTTTCTTTGTAAAGTTCCCCAGAGAGAAAAATGCTATTAAAGTGTTTGGATTCTTCCCCACTTTGATGAGTCAATGCCCCACACTCTGCCTTGGGATCTGTTCGAGCTGAAGCACACAGAGAGTCCATGGAGACGAGCACTGAATTAATGTTTCCCTCTCAGCCCCCTGAATCTGGAATCACAGATCCCACAGGGCTGTGGGACTGAGCAGTCCTGAGCCGGGCCTGGCCACTCAGCACTGCCCCTCAGCCTTCCTGCCAAAATATCCCAACAATTCTGCACATTTCCTGGGAGCAGTGGCTGCAGCAAGGCATGGCAACAGAGATAAAATGTCCAGAATCAGGATGTTTAGACATAACAAGAGAATCAGCAATGGATTGGAAATGGAACACACTGGGATTCCCAGTGTCCTTCCAAACACGAGGTGGGGAAAGAAGGTTGTGGGTTTGGTCCTCATATGGGCCATTCACTTAAGGGCTGGACTCAATGATCCTTCTGAGTCCCTCCAACTCATTCTGTGATCCTGTGACTCTGTGATTCTCTGATCCTGTGATCCTGTGATCCTGTGATTCTGTGATTCTGTGATTTTATGATTCTGTGGTCCTGTGACCCTGTGATTCTATGATTCTGTGATNNNNTGATTCTGTGATTATCCAGCTGGATCTTTTATGCACAGTCTGGGCCTTTGCTGAACTTTCTACTGTTCTGTCTTTTGACTGTGCTGCTTATATTATATTAACTTCCCATACATTTTGTAGATTATCTTCTTGAAAATTCTCCTCTGTATTTATATTTATTTTAATTTCTTCTTGATTTAGTCCTGTGTGATCCTTTTCCTTCCTTGCTGTTTGAGACCTCCAAGCAGAAGGAGCTGTTTGTTAGCTGTCCTGAGGAAGGCTGGAGCCCGTGCTAAAAGTCATCCCCATTTATGTTGACACAGGCAACCCTGAAATACTGACCAGCACTTGGCCCTTCCTCTCCCCAGAGGGGCTGATTGCTTTGCCTACCATTAATTACACCACCTGCAATCTCACCTTGGACTTTTAAAACCTTATGTGGTGTTTTTACTCCGAGATTGTCTCAGATACAAATTGCAGGTAATTATCTACATCCATCATCCTTCCCTGTGTTTCATTAAACATGGAATGGTTCTGCAATGCTGTCTTGACTTCTCTGTTCCCTTTCCCTCTCTGCCCATCAGTGTCATTAAGGAAGTTTTGCTTCCAAGGTCTTCAAAGGGCAGGTAGGATGAAGTTTCAGGAATTGGAACACTACATATTAGAGCAGCACCACTGCATCCCCCCCAAAATAATAAACCATCCAGCATCTGTCTTGGGTAGAATAACCTTTTGCTTCAGGCTTTCTCACTCCTGGGAGCTGTATTTTACCCTGAGGAAATATTTTACTGCTTTTGTTCCCTGAGTCTGCCAGCAGAGTGATATATGTATATGTATTTAATATGCTCTCCATGCAAAATCTGAGGTGACCTATCCATCCTGAGCTCAGATTCAGGAGCCTGGCTCTAATTTCACTAACCAAGAAGGAGCTCTTCTCCAGTCAGGGAGGCAATTCCAGTCTGAAGTTGGTGAAAGTAATGAATTAAACCATGAGATTGTTCTGTGACTACAGGAGTGGAGCTTTTCCAAGTGCTTTCCTTGCAGTGTAAATCACTTGGATTCAGATCCTGAGCTTAACTGAATCGCTCATTCCACTGAAACTTTGAAACAATCCAAGGAATCTGCTCACTTCCTTAGGCAAGTGAGAAGGATATCATGTGATGTTCTGATTTAGGAGCAGATCTAACACTTTTAAAAGTCCAATTAGAATCACAAAATTCTTTGCATTTGAATGCATTTTGAACAACACAATTTGTGTAAGAAATAAATCTACTTTTCAAATAAAGTTTCAAAATGTTGCTGCTCTAGGAGCTGAATGAGTCTTACAGATGTGACAGGAATGCTTTGAAATGTAGCAAAACACTTTTTAGCCTGTTGAAGAGATAGAAATTGCTCACATTAGAATAGAAATGGGGAGTAAATTTATATAATAAATGATGAGCAGTCTGGAGTGCGTGGATCAGACATTCAAATTAGTTTCTCCTGTAACTCCAATGAAATTGAAGTTACACAAGGATGAAAAGGGAAGATGTGAAGCAGCACTTGACCAAGCTGCAAGGTCCTGCACTTGGGTCAGGGAAGGGAAACTGTCCTAGTTTGGAGGACAGGCGTCTGCTGAGAAAGGCAGGAGCCTCTCTTTAGAATGGAGAATGTAAACCCCCTCCCTCCAAAACATTAGAATTTTGAAATCAAGGGGCTCCCAGGCAAAGATATGGGAATTAGGAATAACAGTTCTTTACTAGGGAAATTAAAATAGAAATACAGTA